CCTCCCTCCCTCCCTCCCTCCCTCCCATCCAAAGGGACAGGGATTCTTTGTTCTCCCCCATCAAGTCTGCTGATCTCTGTGACCACAGCTGCAGGAATGGTGACAGACCTTCTCCTCTTCCCCTGCCCAGCTGTTCAGTAGCTGCTGTTTTAGCAGCTTTAGCTCTGTCCTGCTGTTTTGGCAGCTTTGTCCCTACATTCACAAGAATTCTGCTCGTTTAGACCAACCAGCTCCACCACCACCATCACCACATTCATCCCTGCAGGGCCAGCACAGCCAGCTCACCCAGACTCAATGTCCTTCCAAGTTTGTTCTCAGATTCTTGCTTTCTTTTTTTCACATATTAAAAGAACCTTTTGGGCACCACTCCCTGCTTTCCCCCAACACACCTTTCCCTTCTCCCAGTCAATTACTGTGAAACCACCACACCCAGGATTCTGGTGGGTTTTGCTTTCAGGTGAGGAATGAAAACTTTGCTCCTTTGCTCTGCTGGGGGCAGAGCAGGAACTGCTGGTGGGGCAGAGGGAGCCCCTGGGCAAGGGGCACAGCTGCAGGGACAAGGACAGGAAAAGCTCCAGGAAGGACAAGGGAATGTCCAGGCTTGGGTGAAGGACTGAAGCCTGAGGAGATAAGGGGCCTGAAAGGGTGGAAATCAAATCCAAGTGGGATCTTTGTGGAGAGCTCATCACTGCCTCAGGCAAGGAATGAAAATCTGTGATGTCAGGAAACTGGAATTACCCTTGGCCCTCTTCCAGTGAGGACAAGAGCAGATTTTGGGAGCACATCCAGGCTGGTCAGGGGTGCAGGGTCCCACTGGAGCTGAGGCCACCGCAGAGAGGGGTCAGGGGGTTATCCCACCCTGGCACCAGGGAGAGGGGGGACCCCAGAGATCAGCACAGCCCTGTCCCAGTCTGGTACCCAGCCTCATGAAGCCAGTCTCGCTTACCAGGGCCTGTTAAACCAACATTTTTAGCAAATAAATCTGGAAGACAGCCTCCCCCAGCTCACCCATCCGTAGCACAGCATTTGCAGCTGTCCATCAACACCCATTGTGCCATTGCAGCTGATTTCACAACATTTTTCTTGCTGACAGGGCCCTTACTCTGATCTGCAACACCAACCTAAGCAGGCAGATGCTACTGGTGAAATTCTGGAGTGAGCTGAGTTCAAACAGCCATTGATAGCAGTGCAGACAAAATATCTCTGCAGGGACAGAAAATGTAGTTTTAAGTACTAGGATCAGTTTGAAACAGACAGCAGGACCAAAGTTATTGCAGAGCTTATAAATCAGGACTATTCCCAACCCTGTGAGAACCAGAACTTTTCAAATCATCATTCACACGCTATTTTTTCCCTCTTTGCACATTTCTGTAATGTATCATACTCACAGCTGGCTTCCCCTGACTCCATTGTGCTCATGTCAGATGTGCAGATCATACCAACACCTTCCAAAGACATGCCAGCCTTTTGCTCTGGTTTCCTCCTTGGTCACCCAGGTACCTGAGCAGGGTTTCAGCTCCTGACCTAATGTACCTCCCATTGGCAGAGTCAGGAGCTCTTCACACAGACACCAATATTTCCAATCTTCCTATTCCTCTTTCACCAGTGCACAGGGAGGAGTGCCACCTCCTGCCTTGGATTTGTTCTGTACTTTATCCTGCGACACAGGAAGCTTTATCCACAGAGCTGCTCCTTCTGGAAATCACATGGACTGGCACTGAAATGGTGCAGCAGCAGCACCATCCCCACTTCCACCACACACCTACTATACAATCCTGTTGGGCCCCCGTGCTTAGATCCATCCTCAGGAGGTAAAGAGTGGAGAGATGCAGCCCTGAACCCCTCATTTCTATTCCCCATGGCCTCTTAACATGAGCTCTCCCCAAGAGGGGCAATGCCAAGGGGAACCAAGTCCTTCCTGAGCCCATCACGATCTCCATGGTGGGCCTGGCTGTAGATGGAGGAGCCCAGGTACGTTGGACTCTTACTGGTTTTGACCCTTCCATTTGTGTACATTTGGGAGCAGCCTTTGTTTCTGTTAAAGGTACGACTTGTATATTCTCTTTTCCAGGGCTGAGGAGGAGAGGGCTGAGGCTGGGGACCTGAGGTTACAGTGCCTCCATAGCTGCTCCCCAAATAGTAAGTGACCATGGCTCGAATGTGTCCTGCACACAATGGCTTGCACTGTCCCCACGCTGGCTCCCCGGGGCACAGAATGAGGTTTGGAGTAGGAAGCTTTGGGAACAGAGGTTTGTTGCTTTCCCAGACAGCATTGCCCAAGAGATAACCAACCAGCATAAGAACAGTACAGAATTCTCCAGCATTCAATTTAGGATGTGCACATATCCTATAATTTTGTGTTATCTCAAGAAGCTGTGACTTCATAGTAGTTTAAAAATATGCTCTAATTTACACCTGTATAACTTTCATTATCACTACCTTTTCTCATCTATATTTATCACCAATTCATGATGATGCATGCTATTGAATATAAAAATGATTGAAAGCAGCTTTGGTAGACAATAACGTTAGTATAATTAATGCCATTTCTTGCACTTTCTCTGGAAATTGCTGTGCTTTTATTCAGTGTTTGCAAAAGCTCTTGCTTTAAGCTATGGGAATCAGTGGTTCAATGTACAGAGCAATGTTGGAGCATGGCTCCTGCCCTGCTCTGAATACTATACTTTTTCTTTACTCTCCAGGAAAGATGTGTGCAGTTTCATGCATCTATTTCCTTGGAAAGAAAGCAAGTGATCCTTCATTCAGCAGGAGGGAGCCTTGGGAGAGTGACTTGCTGGCTCTGCGCTGTTAAAATTTGGAAACCTCATGGCATTTTGCTGCCTCTGTCTTGCTGAGATGCACATCTCAGCCACATACTCATGGAAGCTTGGTGTCTGTAACCCCAACCCCTGAGGGTCCTGCTCCCTCCCCAGACCTGCTGGAACAGCTCTCCAGTCCCATGTCACTGCAGGTGGTGTCCCCACAGGCATGATAGTGCTGGCACTGCTCTCCAGCTTGGTTTGTCATCAGCTCACTTGGTAACTCCTGCTCCTTGAAAATGTCATGTCAGTCATGGACTTTTCCACAGGCAGATCCATGTCCTTCATTCTCACAGGCCTGAGAATGTCTGTTGGTACAAAATTGATCTGGGTCGTGTTTCCTGAGGAAGTTCCTCACCTGCCAAGCTCCTGGTGGGTGCTCAGATGTGCTTATTTTATTATCGAAGCCTCTCCAGAGGTCTTTGTTTCAAAGAACCAATAACAAGTCTTGACAATAGGTGTTCCAAGGAACAGGCTCTGCTGGTCCTATGGCCAGCCCTGTCCCAAGTGTTTCCATTTTAAAAGACCCAGAGCTCACCCCATAGAGTGCTGACAGCTGAAAGCAAACCCCAAACGAGAAGCCCAGAGCCAGGTTAAAGAACAGTGGCCATCCCTCAATATTCCATCAGGCTCAGCCTCACATCCTTCTGTAATGAAATCAGATCAATATTAATGAAGTGACAGGAGTGAAGTTGTGCTCTCATTTCACAGTTTACTTACAAATCCAATAGAAACTGCAAAATGCTCATTATCCATGCTTATTAGGGAGGAAAAACCACTAGTTACTGCTGCTTGGGATGGCACAAAGCCTCACAATGCTCAGATGAACCTCTCCTTCCTCGAACAAGTCCACCAAGCCATAACTGGCCTGGGCCTGACCCCAGGATCCTCCTTGATGCTGGTTCCAGGGTCCCACACCCCCAGTCCTTGTCACATTCCCCGTTCCAGGGGCTGTGGCCAGCAGAGGATTGAGAATGGGGAGAGAACGGCGTGAGAAGGGCTTGGCTAAAGGCAGAGCAGCCACCAAGGTCACACTGACCCCATGGGTGGTGTGGAGGAAGGGGACACATCACCTGGAACAGACCAAGCCAGCAGCCACGTGCCACCAGCAGAGGAAATGCCAGCAGGTCACTGGGAGCACTCCATGGACACTTCCACAGGGGTGGTCCCATGCCAGCAGGACACCAGGAGGCACCACCTGGAGTCATCCCTGCTGCTCTCCTCAACCAGCACCTCATTCCCTGCAGGACCTGCCAGCTGCCCTCACCCAGGAGTGCTCTGAGGAGGTTCCAATCTGAACCCAACTGCAGATAAGGAATGCTGCCTCATCCTCAGGCATCGTGAATCTTTCTGTCCTCCCACGAACACACAACAGGACATCTGTCCTTGTGGAGAGGAAAGGATTTGGGGGAGTGTCCCTGAGGAGTGAAAGAGCAAAAGCTGTAAAGAGGAGAACAAGGCTGAGCGCTTGTGGAAGACAAACCCTACCTGGCCAGGTGATTTTGGAAGAGAGAATGTTAAAGGTTTTTGAGCATCCCAACAGCACTGTGGGAGCACAGGTAGCACAAAGGGCCTCATGCCAGGGCAGGATATCAGGTTCCTCTGTTGGAAAGACTGAGCTCTCTGTTTTGAGAAGTGGCCTTAAATTAGAAATTCCATCAGAAGCTTGAATCCAGAGGACTCTCAATCAGGACAATGCAGTTATTCAGTCTTGATAATTCTCTATTGAACCATTTAATGTCCATCACCGACCTATAATTTTCTTTTTAACAGAGTTAAAAAGAAAATTATTTTCTTTCCTTTAAACCCCTCTAGCAGGGTTTAAACTTACCTGAGCTGAGGACAGCACCAGGGAGCTCTAACTATAACTTGGCATCCTCTGCTCTCCCCAAGCTGCCTTCCTGTGCAAACATATGGCACTGGCCCCTATACATCTGATACCCCCGGACATACCAAATTTAGCATTTCCAGACACTTTTAAAGTCTATTTGCTGTCATTTTTGACCTTGGAGGTCTCAGCTTTTTCTTTCAGAAGTGCAGGGCTGGGAGCTCTCGATGCTCCAGCTGTGTATAGCTACTGCACAAAAATACAGAAGTTTCACATCAGGGTATTTTTGTTGTTGCACAGTAATTTATTAGCAAGAAATGCTCACTGTTATTAGGCTGCAGCCAGCAATAGTCCCTGATTTCAGACATCTCTGTGTCCATGCCACTTCCACCCTTTCCTCCAGAGTTCTCCCACCATGAGGCATTAATATGAGGAGCCTGGATCCCACGGGGCAGCTGGGAGAGGTGCAGATGGTGAATGTCCAATGGGCAAGAGAGAGACAGGAGAAATATCACAAAGAACAAGGAGGGATAAGTGTGGTGACAAAGCCAAAGAAGAGATAAATAGATCAGAAGTGGAAGAGCTGAGCAGGAAACAGCAAATTCTTATTGTCTGTGGCTGAAAGCCTTGGTGTTATTTGAGGCAGATAAACCCAGAGTTCAGGACACCAGCTTCTCTTGTAGAAAACTGAAAGATTATTCAAAATTAATTCAGTGTTAAAGAAATAACATGTCACTGTTTTGGCAGCGTGGGCATTTCAGAAGGGTCACCTGACAAAGAGGAGGCCTTGAAAAAAATAGTTTTATTCTCATGTCATCACCCTGTAGGCATTTCCCCTGGGTCCATCCCACAGCTCTTTTACCATCCTCCCACCCCGGCTGTCTACAGTGAGATTTATGCAACCAATCCCTCAGTGCTTCACTCTAAAGCATAGTGTAATTTTCTTCTATTCAGACAAGTTCATCAGAAGAACTCTAGGTTTAAAACACGGTGGGAATGATTCATAAAAAAAAAAGAAAAAGAATATCCACTGGTTTGTTTTGTTTTCCCTCGGTCGTGAGCGCCATGGAAGCGAAGTGGTGCTGGATGTGCAGGCAACTTTCAAATGTCTCCAAAAAAGTCTGTAGCACCAGCTCAGCTGGAGAGGGCAAGGCACAGACGGCAGCCAAGGTCACTGTGACAACGGGGAACATGCTTTATATGCTGAGCAGCACGGGCTGGGAGGCGGCAGACAACAAGGGCTTGACGCATTTGAAGTGTCGCTCAAAGTTGAGCCAAGGTTTCTCCTTGTGGAGGTACCTGACAGCTGCAATCAGCTGCCTATTTCATGTCAGCATTGATTCCAACTCCAGGTCTTGCAATTCTTCCTGTAATTTATTCAGTTCATAGTGATTCACCACATAAAAAAAAACGGGGGGGGAAAAATCCCCTCTGAAAAAGCACCATGGCTGAGGTCGAAGATCCAGCCTTGCTGCTCTGGCAGCAGTGGGAATCTCGTTCCTGTCTTCAGGCAAAGCCTTGCCCACTAGGAAATTCCAAAGCTAAAAGGTCTCAGTTCTGTCCTTTACCTCTGCTAACATCCAGATTGACATTTTGCTTTGACATTGCTTCTTGAGCTACCAGTTTTCCTGTTTCTGAGATAAAGAGGATGATAAAAGTAAATGCAGTCCCGTGTGGAGCACGGCAGTCCATGAAAACGAAGGGGTGGAAAAGGGAAGCAAAATAAGCTGACAGGTTATAATACATTTTTTGTTTCCTCCAGTACACAGGTGAATTGAAAGGTTTCTTATATAAATTTCAGTGGGATTAGTTATGAAACGTGCTTTCTGTCACTCTTTTAAATTGCATCTTTCAATAAATGCTTCATCTCCTACAGCTAATCCTGGATTTATGCAAAAAACTCCCCAAACCATCCCCCCACAGAAGCCAACCCTGTCCCACACCGCTGAACATGTGAAATGAAGTCTTTCAGACCGTGTGTGCACCCAAATAGCCTTTCACTTTCTGTGCATACCCTATTCCCCCTAGAATGGAGGTAGGGATTGTTCTCAGTTCAGGTTCAGATAGTTTTACACAGTGAGATATTTTTGGATAAATGCATGTAATTTTAACAGCAAAAATGCATTTTTGTTTTAATTGCCTTTAAATGTCTCTTGTCTCCCACAGTCCAAAGCCTGAGCTACCAACCCCGACATGCAAGGAAGGGGCAGCAATCCCTCTGAGCCAAATAACTCTGGTTTACCTCTAAAAACATTTTTATTCATGAGGGATTCTCCTGTAACGAGCACTATAAAGTCAGTGGGAAAAGGGACAGCCCAGAGGCTCCAACGGGAGAGAAGGATGGGACTCAGAGGGGAGAAAAGAGAGGAGAAAGGGGAACTGGGGGAGGAATAAATTATTATCACAGTTAGGCAGAACCACAGAATAACACAGTGAGGACAGGGACCCCAGAGGGCTCTTGTCCAGTCCTGTGCTCCCAGAAAGTCCAGGCTGGATCAGGTTGCTTCATTCCTCATCCAGTTGGATTTGAACATGTCCAAGGATGGAGATTCCCAATACCTCTCGTGGCCTCTCACTGTTTGAACACCCTGTTTAGCCAGGTTAAGAAGGCAAGGCACTCCCAGGTGCTCCCTGGGACACACGTGTGCTTATTTTCTCTCCTGCCCTTTACATAACCCATTTTATGATTCCTTTTAGGCTCTGCTTTTCTGCAGTAGCTCTGTAACTGTCTGCATTTCCAATTATAAAACCTTTAAATTTGATTTAAACCTGATAATTAAGCTGTGATTTAGCAAATTAACCCTATTGAAGCCCAGAGGTGTGAGACATGCTCTTTAGAACCTTAAATGTTTGGTGTTTGATTGCATCCAACACTGAAAAAGGTGCAGGGAGGAGAAGTGACTGTGTAGCTAATTCAGGGCACTGGTGCTGACAGGACAGGACCTCATGTACAGATCTCCCACATCCCACCCAGACCAGGATTTGCTGCTGTCTTCCACCACAAGAATTTACCAGATGCACAAAAAGACTCATTTGGTCCCTGGCATCACTACAAAAGCTTGTCATGTCCTTTGGCTGCCAGAAGTCCTGCACCATGATCTGCACAGTGGTTGTTGTTGTGTTCCCCTTCAAGGTCAAGGCATTTCTAGCTGCACTCCCTACCTGCCAGGACAGTTCCAGGCCACAGGGGTGGAATATCTTCCTCTCTTGCCATCAGTACTGACAAACTAAGAAAATTTCAGCCATCCTCTAATTCCCTGGGTTCCCAGGCAGTGCCCCCAGGAGACTGAAGCACGAGGGTCCATGGAAGGAAGGCAGGTCTGCACACTGGCCAGGATGGGCAGGGAGAGGTGCTGTGGCCACCTGCAGCCAGGTTTTTGTGTTCTCCCAGTCATTGTGCCAGCAGCTTTCATCCCTTCCTGTCCTTCCCCAGCGCCAAATGCTTGGTTCTCGCAGAGCAGTGTGACTTTTGGGAAGGAGAGCGTGGATGTCCCAGTGGTTCTCACACTGAGGATGGCTGACACGTGCTCACTTGGCAGCAGGGAGGAGCTGGTCCTGAATTCATGTGCCTTATTCACAAATGCTTTGCTCTTGGTCATGAGAAGCAGAGGGTTTTATACAGACATGTATAAAGAGAGGCAAATCAGCCTGTGGGGAAATGCAGCTGTGGGAAACAGGCTTAAAATTGTCCCAAAATAGGACTAAAATTTTCTTATAAGCCTTTAGCCCAGTCCAGAGGAAAAAGTGTGTGTTTGTCTTTCTTTAGGGCTTCACAACACCCAGCTCTAAGTGTCACTAGCCCACAGAGGAACAGGAGTGACCATAATGCTCAGAAAATACCCCCATTCGCTACGTCAAGCTCTTCCAGCGACACATCAAGCAGCTCTTCACTCTCATCAGAACCAACCAGCCAGATCTCCATGGTTCAGGATCAAACCCTGCTGGACATCACCTCCATCACTAGATTGGCCCCAGGGGAATCACCAAACCCTCAAGCACTTGAGCAAAGAGATACAAATTTAGCAATACCGTGTTCCAGCCCACTCGGAGCAAGGACTATTCCAGCATCTTGCCCAGCCAGCCTCAGGCTCAATCTAACACCCAGCTCAGCCAAGCCACAGCAATACTCTGACTCCTCTCCTGTCAGCCCAGGGATCAGTGCAGCTTCCTTCTCCACCTTCTGTCCTCACACAGCACAAAACGTACGAGCTTCAGCTTCAGATCACACACTGACCCCAACCAAGACAAGCACAAGGCCTCCAGCAAAAGCGACTCCTGAAGAGAGTTCCCAGGCTCCCGGCTATTCTAAAACTGAATTAAAGAATACAGGAAAGGGGTTTGAATCAGATCTGGAAGATCCTGATCATGAGAGGTATGTATCCAGACCACACAGGTGTCTAAGTCCTCAAATGGCCCATGTTGGTATAGAACCATTAAGAGACCCCCCCATAAAAAAAAAATTAAATATCTTTTATGATTGAGATGTTCCCAGTGTTAATTTTGCTGTGCTTCCATTAAACCCTGTTACCCAGGAAGCAAAATGCCCTATTTCCATGTACCCAGTTAGCTCTCCAGACCTCACGACAGACCTGGGGCAGGTTGCCAACCTCAGCTCCTCCAGCAGGGCACAGTTTAAAGGTGCCTCCTTTCCTTCCAAACGAGGCAGCACAACCTTCCCTTGTACCAGCAGAGCACAGCTCTGCTGTCACTTGGAGCCTGACAGAGCAGAGCAGAGCAGGGGATGGTGCTCAGGGACATGGCCAGGATGTCCCTCCCAAACCTCCACGGTCTGCTCCAACCCCAGGCAAGCTGGGCTGATCCCACTGCTCCGAGCCTCTGAACTCCACCCTGTCTCTGCCACTTCTTTCCTTGGCAGGAGATTTGTAACCACACAGGAATTCCAAGCCATGGAGAAAGAGCTAGAGGATGTAAAGGAAGACCTGAAATGCCTGAAGTGGAAGGTGAGACACATCGGGGAGACGGTGCAGCCCCTGGCTGAGGACAGCAAGAGGTACAACGGCTACACCCTGACGGAGCTCAAGGCCATGGTGCAGTTTGAGGATGACCCTTACAAGGCTGCCCACAAGATCCTCACCGTCCTCTTCAGCGATGTCTACTGGCCACAGCGCCCAGCCGCCGAGCAGGCCTGCAACTCCCACTCCCTGCCCAAGCCCAAAATAGACCCAGAGCTGTACATGGTCTACTGTGACATTCTGAAAAGCATATTCCCTGGAATAAGCAGCCAGACCTTGAGGGAAGAGACACAAGACATGCAGAAAGGCACCCAGAGAGCAGTGCAGTAGCACCAGAGCCCAGGGGTGCTGTGCAAGGCGCGAGGTCTGCGGTGATTTCAGAGACTGGACTGTGGTAGCTCCCGTCGGTTGAGTCTGTCCCTTTTAGGTATGGATTGTCTGGGAAGGTGTTGCTGAGCTCTGAGCCCTCATGCCACTTGCCCAGTGACACAGACTGGGAGGGCATCCTGCACTCTTCCCACGTTTTAGAAAACAATTGCTCCTTTGGTGTCTCTTTCAATCTATGGACGTTTCCTTGTTTCCAGCAACTACAAACGCTGACAAAAGAATCCCACGAAGGCGTTGTACGTCCAAGCAAGGGCCTTCTCCCAGCCCCAAACAGACCAACCAACCAGCATCTGGGTAGTTTCTATTTTCTAGAGTGTATCATTCATTAAATGACATTACTTGTTAGAAAATCGTGCCTGTTCTTTTTTGTTTGTCTAAAAATGCTTTGCACATCAAATCAATCAGCATCGTAACTTGAACACAACTGGAATGAGACCTGGGAATTTCAAACCTTCCTCAAACCTCCCCCTTGTTTTCAGGAGCACAAACCCAGGGCACAGTGGTGAGCAGCTGTGGTGAGTCCAACCAGGTCCTATGCCAGGAAACAGGGGCCAGGGCACAAAACTCTGCCATTGCTCCTAAATCACCAACCCAGCAGTGAGACAGGGGAGGGTCTGTGACCTCCAGCTCTCCCAGTCTGTGCTGACTGGGCTGACAGAGCAGCTCAGATGGGATAACCCAGCTGAAAGGTTGTGGCCCCTTGCAAGGGTCCCTTAAGGGGAGCACCACTATGGAGCCTGTCCCAAGGGAAGGAGGATGCTGCTCATGGGGAAACACAGGAGAATGTCCCTGGAGTTCCTTCCTCCCCATCTGGGAACCAGCAGCGTGCCATGGGTGAGCAGTTTGTCCCCCAGGTTCTGCCACAGGCCTGGCCATGCAGCCTGCGCTGTAAAGGTGAGGGTGGAGGGCTGGAGCAGTGTCCTTGTGCTGCATTGTGCAGTGGCAGTGGCGGCCACACTCCCCACTGGATCACCCAGTCCCTCTCAGAGTCAGTGACACTTCTTGGAAAGAGTCACTTCCCTGGTCTGTGTGACAAACCCATCAAACCCCAGAACACGTCCATCCTGCCGCTCCTGCCAGGCCCCGAGGAGGGCACGAGGTAACCTGAGAGTTCAGCCCCTCTTCCCCTCTGCTGGGCTATAATCCACCTCAAGCTTATTCCAAGAATAACAGGAGGAGAAGAAAACAATTACAAAAACGCTGAAAGCAGATCATTGCCAGTGCCACCACAGATGACCTTGGGTGATGGGATGGGGCCACAGCCACACTCTGAACCTGCTGGGCACATCTCCTTGGGGACACCGACTTTAGTGGCAGAGCTCCCACCTGCCTTTCAGCAGGATGGTCTCTGCTGCACTCACAAAGACATTGGTTTAAGTTCCCTGTTGATAGCAATTTATTTCACTTCCAAGCTGCTGTGCAGACACAGGCACACTGCCCACACAGCCCCTCTGTGCCACGCTGCAGCCAAGATCCACAGCTGGCACCTCCAGGGACCTGCAGGGATAACAGGGCTGTGCACTGTGTGTGCCCAGTGGCAGCACCCAGAGGGACTGGGAAAAGCCAATTCCCTCCACTGGTGGGCACAGGGGGAGTAGGATGATCGGAGTCACTGGAGATGCAGTGTCCCCTCAGAGCCAGTCCCCCAGGGTGCACCATCACAAAGCCAGTGAAGGCTCTGTGCACTGTGGAAGGGGTGTCTGAGCCTCACACAAACACTCCCTGCATCCTGTTCTTCTTTCATGGCTCTTTCTTGTAGGAAAACCTGTCCTTTGGGATGACATGGGTGGGGCCAGGCTGATCCTCCTCCCACAGAACACACACAGGCACTGCTCACACTCATTTTTCTGTGGCAGACCAGACCCCCAGCTCTCTCCAAGGTCTCTCTTTGGAGCTTTCCATAACCCCCACTGGACACTGAACTGACAAAAACACATTCAGCGATATCAGTCTTTATATGTTGTGTTGCCTGCCCTCCTGCCTGTAAAATCTTAATACATTTGTTCCTGTGAGAACAGGCTCTATGGTTTCTCATATTCATGAGGCCAGACAATATGCTCAGATTTTCTCTTTTAGCCTCATTCTCCTCATGCCTCAGATCCAGCACAAGTCCATGAATTATTTTTATTAACTTTACATCATCAGGGCTGCTTCTGTCAAATAATGTCAGTTCTGGGTCCCTTTCAGGTTTGTGTCATCTTCTACAGGGTCACTTGTGCTGTGAATCACCTCCACACACTCTGGAGATGTGCATCAGGTCTTTTACCCTGCTAGTTTTGGCTTTTAGCTATTCAAATTGAATTTCCAGGTTATTTGGTTATTCTGGGTTATTCCAGGTTATTCTGGCTGGAGCTGGCCAGTCTTGTCAGAGCTTCTATACAACATCATTTTTATTATTATTATTAGTAGTAGTAGTAGTATTATTATTATTAATCTGCACCTTCTGAGCCCTACAGTCTGTCCCAGAGCCTTGCCAGCCACAGCAGCCCTCAGCTGTGAGGGAAGGAGAAGAAAGCTGCAGGACAAACCCACTCCACCTGTCCTTTACAGACTCCTCAATTCTTCCTTTCCCTCTGCTGCATTTATAGCTCAAAGGCAGCTCTGCTCTGTGAAGCTGTCTCAATCTTCAGTCACTGCATTATCTCTGTGAGCATCTCCTTGTACTTGAGGCACCTTCCCTGATTTCTATAGAGGTAGAAAAATCCACTGATTTTCTACTCATTTTCCTCTTGTTGATGGGCATTACCAAGTCCTTTCATGCTTCCACAAGTCTCAGCTTTCCTTGCTGCTTTGCCGGGGAGAGCAGCACAGCTGTCTGCCCACAATCCCAAAGAGTTTTTCTGTGTCCAGTCTATTTTTTCTGTATTCACCCACTCCTAGCACAACAGGAGGGCGAGGGCTGGCCGCCCACACCTGCAGGAAGAGCCCTTCTCCCTGCAGAGTACAGAACTGAGTCAGCACAACCAAACCAAGACAGCAGTGTCTTAAATATACAGGCCTGAAAGCAATGTTTTTGGCGTTGATTTTTAACATCCTGTGCTTGCCAGAATGTGCCTTGTTGCAAGTTTGCTCTGTCTTAAGGCTCTAGATCTTGCTGCCTGGTATTCAGACAGAAAAGTAATTACACAGCCCCATTACTGTGACACTCACAGAGATTCAGCCATTGTTCTTCTTGGACAATTCACACTGATTCCAACCCCTCCTGCACGGCCCCTTAGCATAAATAAGCCTTCTCTCCAAAATGTTATCACCTCCACTTGTATGGAGACAGGCAGGGCAGGCAATCAGACACACGGTGAAAAATTAGCCTTTAAATCCATGTTGCATTCTCTCTACTCTTCATTAAACCATAACACATATTCTCGAGCTCCAAGACCCGATACCAGACCAAATGACTTTCTTTCCTTTTCTCTCTTAACTCCAGGCATTACATTTGCTATTTTCCAGCCATGCCCGGGTGGAGAGTCATTAGCATCACACTCATTCAAGGGATGTGCTGGCGTTCATCCTGCCTGCATCCTGAGGTCCTCAGAGCCTGGCACAGCCTGCCTTTCCCCTTGTCATCTCCCACAGCAGATGTCTGGTCAGAAGTGTGAGGACAACAATACTTTCTCCAGCCTCGGGCAATCTGTAGTTTGCACTGATTGATTGCATTAAATAAGCAACCTATTAATATCCCCCCTGCTGAGGCTCGATGGGCTCCAGTTGGCAGAGCAGATCCTACAGCAGATAAGTTGTGTTAAACAGAGGGTCCTGATGCATACTGCTCATGGAATCACAGAATAATTTCAGCTGGAAAGAGTCTCTGGTGGTCAGCTTGTCCAACCCCTCTGATAGACAGCATTCCAGTAAAAAAAACCCTGAATAAACAACTCTGTGCTGCAAAAGCTAAACCACTGCAATAAAAACAAACTTCTAACAACAACATTTTAAAAAGAATAAAAAAAACTTAATGTACATCTGCATCAGTGGATAAAGAAGATAAATGACAAACTTTTTGTAGCACTGGTTTGGAGGGCTCTTTGCTGTGGTTAAATCTACATGCATCACCAATTCATTTATCAACCTTCTCATTAATATCTCTAATGCATAATTGCAGTCAAAGTCACTCATTGAACCATGCATTTTATGACCTCAAGGGTTACCCCTTTGTACTGTTAATAATAATATCCCTGCATAATGCAAATGCTTTATGCAAAACAAGTCCACCAGCCCTTCTGCTTTATGACTTACAATACAGCACAGCAAGTTTTAGTCAACTGTCTGCATCTTTATATCAGTTACAGGCATCATCTGTCCTGAATTGCGAGTCACAAGGGTTTGGGCAGTGCCATTAATTACCAGTAATGCCTTCTCCATTAGTCCTACCTGAATGTCTGCTCCTCATGATGTGTTCTCTATACATTTATATACCCAGTGCCTCTGGCACACTCCATTTCAACCTGACTTCAGTAATTTTCACAATAAACCTACAATCTTTGTTTTCCAAGGTGAAAGTGCCTCCCGAGACCCTTTTCCATTTCTCCTATCCATCCATTTCTGTAAGTGGTTACTTTTCCACTCTGAGCAGAGCCCTCCCCCACAGACCCCTCCCTTCCTCAGAGCCTGACAGGGAAACAAGTGCCCTATAAATCATCTCTGGACACTTATTCTCAACCCACAGGCAGGTGACAAAAGTGTAGATGTCCTGAGGGCCATAATGCTGCTCCCCCTGGGAACAAGAGCGACACTGGGGCGTCCCAAAGGGCTTCAGACCAACACACAAGGACAGAACACTGATCCTCCCAAGCACTGCCCTGAGAAATGCATATCCTAGCTTCTTGCAGATTTATTATGAAGAGTAAATTATCTGAGTGGCCCAAAGAGAGTGATTAAAATACACATCAGTGTCTTGCTGGGTCAGTGGGTTTTGATCAGATCTCCCATTTTGTGTT